ATACATCTCAAATAGTTTAAAATAAGAATTAAAATTAATAATGTTAAATGATCTATATTTTTATCACAAATACAGATTCATATACAAAACAAGAATAAAAATCATCAATATCTCAGTAAATTTTAATTCAATTATTATAAAAATTTATATTTTAATAAAAATTATCTCTTTTACAACTTTAATTAGAAGCATAAAATAAGTGTAGAAGCAGAAAAATTAATCCACAGATAGTTTTAATTGATTATTCTCTTAAAAAAAATTATATATATATTTTTTAAAAAAAAACTGTTGTTGTTTGATAAGTTTTCAATTAATATTAATAATAATAGAGATTCTACTACTTCTTATTATATTAAAGAATTGTTATTAATACTAGAAAAAAGGCATGGTCTTATCATTAATATTTAAAAAAATAAAAAAAAAATTAATACTAAAAAACACTTGTTATAATATATTTTTGAATAAATTATATTTATAATTTAAATATTCTTTTAAAACATTAAGAAAATTAAAGAAATTATGCAATATAAAAATATATAAATCTTATAATTACAAAAAAATATATAAAAAAAAAAAGTGTAGGTTCTATAGCTTAGCAGTTAAGCTCCTATACTCTTTATAATTAAGATTAACAATTCAAGTCTGGCTAGAGGCAAAATTAAAAGATTTTAGCTTCTGTAACTTAATAAAAAACTGAAATTGAATGTAAAGCTCTGTGGTTAAGTCCAAGTACAATACTATAATGAAAATAAGAATTCCCAAAAGGAGACCCAATCGTAAAGTGTAGACATTATGCATAACAAGCAGTTGTTACAGAAGGTTATAGTTATGAAAAGATTGTGCATATAAGTTTTTTAAGCTAAGGTAGCATCAACATTCTTATATCTTCTAATATAGGCAGTACCAACATTTCTGTACCCAACTTGTAAAGTACTTGCTTAGAAGGATAATTAACAAATTGTATAAATAAGTTTTAATTAGAATTCAAGACAAGGATTTGCTTGAAAGAGTATTCTGAAAGTAACCAAAACTGGAATAGTAAAAAAAGTAGTAAACACAAGAATGGGCTGTGATAAAAAATTAGTTTAACCAAAAATTAAAAGCACCTTTGATACAGTTAAATTATCTAATTATAGAAGGAAAAATCTTAAAGGTTGGTGTATAAATTTCTTGTGCAATATAAAAATACCAAATTGGGTTTCTGGTCATACCTATATGGAAGTCTATGACAAACAAATAGGCCTCTGCATGGGCCAGATAGGGCCAGTAATAGCAATACTCTAGTCCTATCCATTTGTGTAAGGGCTTAACTTTTGAGCTCTTATCTTTATTCTAGAACCCAAAACCCAATACTCTAATCTGGCCTGTCAGGCCTACAGGCACTTATGAACTACCTGTAAGCCTAAATTTACCTATATAAAATTACAAGTGCAATAATAAAACCCACTAAGTATTGCTATCAAAATTAGATACATATATTCAAAGCTTAAATTTATTAAGTGATAATATGATTTATATCTAAAGTAATATAGTATAGTATGAGATGCGAATGTAATTGAGTATATAGAATACAATTAATTATTATACTTATGTATCTAGTAAAGCTATCATACTTGTGTGAAGTAGTAATAAAACTATTTTATCAATCATACTTGTGCATAGTAAACCTATTTTATTGATACATAGTAAAACTATAATACCGATTATACTTGTGCATATATAGCAATAAATATGTAATTTATTATTAAACATTGATTATTTAAAAGATATCGATATTAATTTAAAATGTGTTCAGAATAATAGAATAGTCAATTGCATGTAATGAAAGATTGATTATTCATATGATACAGTATTAAATAAAATGTTTATAATGATAGTTTTGAGATTCTCTTTTACTTACAATTTTTTGAACAAGTAAAATATACTGTTTAAATATACATTTTAAGAATTCTAAAATTTTTATTGAATAAAGATAAAATTGTCAATTTTTAGATTTTTAGAGCATAAAATGTATAATTTTTACTATTCAAATTATTGGTAGAATTGAAATGATTAACGAAGAGAATCTTGAATAACTAAAAAGATTCGAAAATTATAAAGTTATTGATGAAATAATGGCTTATAATATTTTAAAAAATAAATATTTTAGTTAAATTAATTAATAAAGCTTGACCTTGGACTTTATATAAAATAAATAATAGAAATATATTGACTTACAACATCTTATATTATTAATAATATATTAATATGCTAATAGAAAGATTAAAATATGAAACATATGCTTTTTAATTGAAGAAGGAATCAAAATAATGCTCAAGCTTAACTGGTTTAAAAGCTATTGCAACTTGAACTTTTATATTTTACTAACACTACCACTATAAAATATTAATTCAAATGCTATAATTTTTTAGATTTCGCTTCAACTTTATTCCTATTAGGATTATAATAATAATTGGCAAGATTTTTTTCTCTATTAAATCAAGCATAATTACGATTAAACATTTATAGTAAGTTTTTCTTACAGAGAAAAAAAAGGATAAAAAAGAAAATATATGCTATCATGCCAAAAAATTCTCAAACCTAAAACAGTATAAAACATTCAATTTTTTTCATTTTTTTCAAAAATTTTTTTTTTTTAAAAAAAAAATGCTATATTTAGTTATTACTAATAATCTGTTAAAGCAAAAAGAGCTAATTATAATTGAAAGATAGAATGTATTATTTGCAATTCATTTGACATCCTATCTAATATTATCTCAGATATATTGTATATTGTTGAAATTTGGCTAAGACAAGATGTAATATTGGAATATTCTATCAAGTAAAATTGAAAATATAAATTTAAATTTGTAATCTATAGAAAAATGCCAGTACCAAAAAATATTTATTTAATTAGTACTATAAATAGTATAAAACAGCAAGTTTAGGTTAAAATTTTTTTACATTTTACTAATTATAAGTCTCATCCAAATTTTGTTGCTGCCTCTAACCAATTTTGCTGACATATTAATGCTTTTATTGTGTCTGAGTCTAATGAAGCATGATAATTATTAATAATATGTCCTGCATAGCTAAACATTTGTTTAGATGCAATGCTAATAAACAGTATTGTGAAAAAGTCTCAGGACATTGCTAACAAAGTTGAAAAGTGATCTTCATTAAGTTTTTATTATTTAAGAACATTAGTAGTTTTAGTTGCAATTTGTTTATCTAAATATTGATTAACTTCATAAAGCATATTATCTTCACTAGATTGAAAGCTTCTTATTGTATATTTAAAAAATCATTAATATGATCTTTGAGTATTAATGTATCATCTTCAACACTAATAGCTTCATGACTAGTTGAGCATTTAATTGCTAATGAAGAGTAGTAAGTTTGAAGATATATAGTTTTGAATCTAAATATTAAATTATAAATAAAGTTAATAGTATAAAGTTATAAATAACTAAATTAATAAATATATATATTTTTTTAATATCTTGTATTTTTTCATTAAGTTCATTTAATTCTAATTTTTCTTTTTTACGATAAAAGAATAAAATAAATTGTAACTTATAATGAGAGTTAAGTATATATGCAATAATATATAAAAAATTACTATCATTTTAATATTTATTAAACATTTTTATTATAGATCTAGAAATATCATGGATAAAGCTATCATTATGATATCTCATATTGAGAAGATGAGTACGAATATTCAAAATAGAAGTGAAGGTATTGTTGAGAGTTGGATAGGAGTTTGCTAATGCTTTTAAGGTATCTGTTTTTTTTTAAAAAAAAAATTCTTTAAACAAATTTAATAATATGTATTTACTTAGTATAAATTTATTAAATAAATACATAAATAACATACAATTATAAAATGGTTTTAAGATGATACAAATTTATCTGCTTTTATTCATTCATTTTCCTTAAGTACATCAAGAAAAGTTCAATTACAATCTTCTATTCGAATAATCAGTCTTCATTTTTATTGCTGATTGTAACATTGTAAAGATAGAATTTCAATAAGTATTATATTTTAATAATAGGATAATAGAATTTTCAGATTCATATTTGCAGATATCTAAATATGCTTGACATCACCTTGGAGTTGAGTGTATTGCTTTAACACAGTTGTGAATCTAAAAAAAATTAAATAGATAATTAAAAAATTATTAAATAAAAGCTAGATAATATATAATTACCTTGTTAATTGCTTCTAAAATTTTTTTTAAATCATCTTTCACAATAAGGTTTAAAATATGAGCAAAACAGCAATTATAGAAAAGTTTTTCATTAATATTAATAAGTGAATCTTAAGAGATATAATCAACTAATTCATGAATTACAACATTATTCGAGCTTGTATTATTAAGTATAATAGTTTGTAGCTATGATATAAATAATGAAAATTTTATTAAAATAAGTCAGAATTAATTAATTATAAATTACTCTATCATATTATATTGAAAAAATATATAATTGGCTAATTACGATTATCACTATGTAATAACTTAATATTTATACCTTATTAGTAATTAAATGCTCATTCATTTTAACTTTAATACAAATTAGTTTAAATGATAATAAAACAAAACAAGGTTCTAGTTTTTATTAATAAAATGCACTGTAATCACCAAATATCCAAGTTGCTGAACTAAGATTTAAATATTACAGGTTAAAGAGATTTTACTATCTACATCTTAAAGATCTTTTTTAATAAAAGCTTTTCTTTTATTATAAGCTTTTATAATATCTTGCTTTACTGTATCAGCACTAATAGTAAAATTAGACAATACTCTATTAAGAAATTTTTGAAATTTTTGTTTTTTTACAAACTGAAAACTTAGTTCATTTTTAATTATCATGTTAACTATATTTTTATGATATAAGTCTTTTAATGATCATGTAATAAATGTACTAAAATCTAATTGTGTTTGACTATTTGATGGATTTGATGAATTTGATGAATCATCATTAGATGCTTGATACTTTCTACATGATTTGAGATAATGTTGAAGGTAAGATGTTCTAGTGTTTTTTTTATAACTAAGTTTGCTTTTACAGTAATTATATATAGCTTTTTATTTATTTGTTATTAAAGAATAATGCTCTCAGACAGGAGATGTATATTTTTGTAAATTAGTCAGATCAGTAACAATTGATTCTAATGTATCTGATCTAACTATTACAGAAGCAGAGTCATCAGGACTTATTGTATTATCTTCATTATAGTCATAGTTATCTTTATTGGCTTCATTATTGTTATAATTATCTATATTATAACTTTTTTTTTAGAGAAATTTTATTTAACAATAGAATTTTTTAAAAAAAATTAATGATGAATTAGTGGCAAGTGCTTAGTAAGTTTTATATTCATTAGCAGATTCGTTAATAGGTTCGTTAATGGATTATTATTAGTTATAATGAATTGATTAAACCAATAAAAAAGAATGATGATTCATACAATAAATCTAAAACTCTTAAAGTCTATTTATATTTGTAGCATGATGCAGATGTCTATAATTTCAATTCATGTTCTTATGATAAAGAAACTCTAGAATCTGCACCTCAGTATAGGATAATTCATTGAGATAAGTAAAACTTATTATTTTTAATAATGATAAAACTTATTATATTATTAAAAAATAATGCCATCAGTGTGATATTCTGAGTATATGTGTATTATACAGAATATATGCATTAGGTGTTCTTTGAGACAAAGATAAATTTTCTCAAACCTGTCTGTTATATCAAATTATTTTTTAAAACTTATGTGCATGCCTGTTATTTCACAAAAATATAGTAATTGTTTATTCAAAATCTTAATAAACATATGAATAATATAATAATTTTGGCTTATCTTAAGAATTCTTAATTCCTCTGCATAGAAATATTCATATGTATACTAAATAAATTGCTATTGAGAGTGAAAACTGAACTGGTATGTACGGAAAATCTAAAACCTTAATTAAATTAGAAATTGAAGATAGGCTAAATTTGGGTTTAGGTCAAAATACCAAAAATAAAGATCCTAATAAGGTCGAAGTTCCAGTTAACATTGAGCTAATCCTGTTAGAATTTGATTTTATCAGAATTTTGTTTCTTAGGATTTTAATCCAAAACTACTAAATTTGTATTATCAATAGCTTATTTCAGTTTTACTATATACACTTATATATATGTGCAGATATTTTATTCTGGTAGTCTATTAACTAAGCAAATAAAGCTTTATATATACAAGTATTATATAAAATTTTTTAAAAGATTTTTTTTTGTATAAAAATTGATCTTTTCTTAATAATTATGACAGTATGCCCTTATAAAATTTATCTACAGTTTAAATTAACAGTATATTGAAATAAAAAAAATTTGTTGTTCTGCTAAGAAAAAATCACTAAAAAAGGTAAATATTTGTGGTACATATAATTTACTTATTTGACAAACCACCCCAACATTTTATTCTTGATATTATTGTTATATATATTTCTATATATATAGAGATTTGGATTTTCTGTATTGTGAAACTTACTATCTATATAAAGTATAAACAAACTTTAATTCTGAAATAATGCAGTTACTGATCTAGCTTGTACATATGTATGTACATATATTGGGGTTTAGAATTAATATAGTACATATATATTATAAAATAAAATTAATTTATTATTATGTAGTTTGAAGTTTTAATAAACAGAACTTAAAACATTATGCGAATATAACATTTATATAACTAATAGATATCTGGAGTAAGATAATGAGTAATACTCTAGCTCTATCTGTTTGTATAAGGGCCTCATATTTAAGCCCTTACTCTTACCTTAGAGCTTAGAAATCAGTGCTCTAGCCTAGCCTTTATGGTACTACTTGTAGGTATCCATAGGCCTATACGGCTCATGTGGAGGCCTATGAACAAAACTGAGATCAACCAACCAATGTGAGATAAGATCTGCAAGATAGTATGGCATCACTAGGATCAGTATAACTTCCTAAAGCATAATCAGAATTGTCCTGCAGGTATTATTAAATAAGCTAGAAGTTTGTAATACATAGTAGTATAGTATCACTAAGATCAAAAGAACTCTCTAGGTATAACTAAAATTGTCCTATTTGTAAGCATAACAAGTCTTAGATCTTACCATAGAAGGGAGCATCATATTGGAGATTGAATGCAGTATCAAGTTACTGTATGATGTTAAGACCTGAAGCATCTGCAGGAACAGTAGCAGCAAATCTAATTTGAGATACAGATTGATCAAAAGACCAATAGTAGCAGCAGATCTGGCTTGAGATATGAGTTCATTACAGATCCTAGACCATTGTCAGAACACCTTAGAGAAATTAATAACAGGCATACCAAAGATAAAAAGATTATAAGAATCAAATATATCTGAGTAGGACCAATTTGGAAGTAATACAGTAACAAAAAAATAAGAAATATAAGAAACAAAGTAATACTAGATATAGTTAAATTAAGAGACAGAAGAAACAAGACTAGGTAAAACATGTGAGTAGGACATATAGGTATGATTTACAGAAAACAGTATCTCTAGTATTTAGATATTATATTAAGTTCAGTAGATATTCTTGTCTGTATAGCAGTTTAATGATGTGTCCTAATTACAAGTAGTTATTAAGATAACTGCATGCAAGCATGCAGCAGACATGCACTTAGATACCATAAAAGTAACCAGATGAAGTTAGTAGTGTAAAATTAGATAGTATATAGTACTAGTAATAATTGATCCTAAAAATATAACTGTAAATTTGTACTATATCAAATTAAAGCTAATAAACTAACTGGCATTGTTGCCAAAGTTCAAAAAAAAAAAAAAAAAAGATGAAAATTTTTTTTATAAAAAATTTTTTTTTACAAGAAAATTCTTTTATATAAAATTCTTTTTAAATAAAATTTTTTTTTTGCATTATTTATTAAATAAAAATGTCTTGGTTAAATAAATTCAAAAACTTTAAAATTATTGCTAATTGGGAGAAATATGTGAATTTTAATAAACTAAAACTGAAATTAAATGAATACAGATTTATAAAAATTAATTTTAAACTAACATTAAAAGTTAAGATACAGAAACCAGATATTATATTTCTAATTGATAAAGAAAATTTTTACTTATTACAAAATTATACTTGGTATTATCACAAACATAAAATTGATAATACTTTTTATATTTGAATACATATTAAAAAAAAAATTAATATTTTATCAAATGATTTATTTTGAATAGAAAATAATTAATCATATTAATAATAATAAAATGAATAATATAAAGTATAATCTATAAGAAACAACTTCAAAACAAAACATGTTAAATTATAAACTATCAAAGAATAATATATTTAATTATAATGAAATTACTTTTAATAAAAATTTAAATACTTGAGAATTTAGATAATATGAAAAAAATAAATATAAAGAAAAAAGGTTTATATTACAAAAAATAGAACTTCAAAGCAAAAAAACAATTAGCAATCAAATTCAAACTAGAACAAGACAAAAAAATTAGTAATTATAATAGATATCTAGTAACTTATTAATTTTCTTTATTTAAATATTTGATAATTTTATTTATAAATATTTATTTATTGAAATACAAATAAAAAAATTTACAATTTAATTTTTTTAATTGATCCTTCTATCTAATCAGTTGATTTTCTTTTACTATTAGTTCTGTTTTTTAATTTCTTTTTTTAGTATATTGAGAATCATCAAAATGATATTTAGATATATTTTCATTAAAATCTATATCTATTTCAATAATATTATTAGTTTGCATTTTCATATTTTGTTTATATTCATATAAGGCTTTGCATTTTGGATAATCTCTTAAAAAATTTTTTTTATATTCAAAAAAATTCTGTTACCAAAAACTTCTTTATCTTTAAAGATAATTTCTTTATTTTTGAATTCATTAGTTTTGATTTTTTCTATAATTTATTTATCTAAAAGGTCTTTTTTATCAAATTTAAAGTCCCAAAACATATTTCTAAAATCTTTTTTAGAACCTTTATAAAAATGAATTTGGATAATTTCAACCTTCAAATTTCTTATAAATTTTATTACAAAATTTAATCTTTGTTCAAATTGTGCCTAGTTTCTTTGAACCTATCATTTGCAATCAATCTATTACCAAAATTAAATACTTCTTATAGTGGTTTATATAAAGTTATAAATACATATTTTACAAAAAATAATATAAATTCTTTTCTCTTTATTTCAACTTTTTTTTCAGCATTATTTAAATACTTGACAATATTACTTCAAGAGAAATATGTATATCTAAAAAAATAGAATGTATATTTACAAAATGGTCTAATAAAACTCTTTCCGCTGATTCTCAATTTCTAAACAAAGCCAAACAAACATAGTGGAAAAACAAAAAACAGCTCTAGAAACTCCAGTTTGGGCTCTAA